TCGTTTGGATGGATTCCCTCGCATAAATCCTTGGCCCAGGCTATTGAGCTTAATCTTGATCTCCAGGACTGGCTTGGAAACAGCTGGGCTGATATGTTTGCTAGTGTTGCCCTAGACTTAGCCAGCCCAGCTAAGAGCCTGGTTCGTAACATCCAGTTTCGTATGGAGGAGGCCTGTCTTAATGCTAAATTCGTTGCCTGGGCGGCTGCTCGTGCGGCTGGTTCGGGGGTTTGGGATCCCGCGGAGGCCGACCCGAGGCCTCCTCCGCCCGTCACGGCGCCCAGGTTGCTATCGTTTGTTGCGCACGAGTTTGCAGAGCTCCTTGGAGGGGGTGTCCGTTGCCTGGCTTGTAACCGTGTTGCACGCACGGCAGAGACCAGGCGTTGCCTTGAATCCTACCCATGCGTGCCGTCTCACCTGGCCAGGCTCCGTGCCCAGGCGGCCCTACAGGCCGAGGGGGTTAGCCCTGCCCCTCCTCGCCCCTCCCCTGCGGTTGCCCTGGCCTTGGCCGCCGCTGCCGCCGCCGCCGCCGCGTCGACCCCGTCGGAGAGAGGAGAGCCTGACCCTGGCAGGGGAGGCAGCCGCTCGCCGAGGCGGCAAGTTGACGGCCCCTCCTCCTCAGCGGCTCCGCTCAGGTCTCGCAGCAGGCTCGAAGGCACGCAATCGGCCCATGCGTTTTCCAGGCTGGATCGATCCGTTCGCGTTCGTGCCGCGACCGAGCCCTCGACCCCAACCGGTGTCACGAGGGCCTCGGCCGACGAGGCCACCCCCTCTGTGCGCCCCGAGAACGGCCTTTCCGACGAGGATCGTCGGGCTCGGATCGCCGCCCGTCTCCTCAGGGCTGCTGGGGGCACACCTGCTGCCACAGCCTCTGCCCACCTGTCCTCCACCCCTGAGTCCCTCTCGGGAGGTTTGCTGGAGGCCCCCCTGGAGGACCAGGAGGAAGGAGAGGGCAGGGAGGGCGAGCCGACGTGCGAGGGGGCTGGGAAGGTGGGGGACTGTGCGATGCGAACGCGGGCGAGCAGCCCCACCCCGCCGACGGCGGAGCCAGCGGCGCCCCCGCCACCGACGGCGCCCCCTGCTGCGCCGCGGGCCCCGCGGGTGCGGGGCCAGGCAGCCCGCGGCCGTGCCGCCGCCGCCGCGGCCGCCGAGGAGGGAGGCGGGGGTACGGGCGGTGGGGCGGGGGTCGTCCACGAGCGGGGACACGAGCTTGTCTCCGTTCCGCCCTTCACCTTTTGTCGGAGATGCGGTTTTCTCTCGGGCAAGCAGCAGGCGCGAGGGTTGCTAGTCGAGTGCACGGGGCCCCTGCCTGCACCGAGCCAGCGCAACCCCCCCCCGCCCTCCGCGAGAGGGCTCGCCGTCGAGACAGGCTTCTCAACGGCCTGAATCCTTACACGGGCGAAGCCCTGTAGTTTTCTGTCGGGGTGAGAGTGTTTTCTCGTCCTCGACCCTGGCCTCCGCGGAGTTCGGAGGCGCCTTGTTTCGGTGATCTGGGGATTGCCTGCTTTGTGTTTCTGGTCCTGCCCAGAGGCTCCTAAGCGGCCCAAGTGGGCCCGTTGGCACAGGCCACGGTCAGTTGCTCAGATGCTGCTGAACGTGCGCTCTTGATGGCCCGACACACACACACACACGCGCGCGCGTGCACACACACACACTCACACACATACGCACACACACACACACGCACACACACACACACACGCTCACACACGCACGCGCGCGCGCACGCGCAGACACACGCACACACACACACACACACACACACATGCACGCACCCACCCACCCACCCACCCACCCACGCACGCACGCACACACACCAACACCACACACACACCACGCACACACACCCACACAACACACACACACACACACACACACACACACACACACACGCACACACACAACACACACACGCACACACCCACACACACACGCACACCACACACACACACACACACACACACACACACACACACACACACACACACACACACACACACACACACACACACACACACACACACACACACACACACACACACACACACACACACACACACACACACACACACACACACACACACACACACACACACACACACACACACGCCCGCCGGGGGCCCGCCGCCAAGGATGCCCGTGGACCCGGCGCTGGCGGGCGGAGATTCTGAGCGCCCCAATTCTGGCGCCGCCACAACCGCCGGCCACGGAGAAGAAGGACCGGGGCCGCCAACGCCACCCACGCGCCCCCGACCTCCACGATCGCGCCGAGCTCTTGCCGGCGTGTCAGCGCCCCTCTGACGGGGACTCCACTGACGTGTGCTCTGGCCAGTGACCCCGCGAGCCCAACCCTCCCCGATGTGGGCCGCCCACGAGCCTCTCTGCAGCCGTGCTCAGTCCGCTCGAGATCGGCCCCGCCGCGAGGCGACAGCGTCGCCGCCGCCGAGGCCGTCGGCCATCCCAACGCGGCCCCAGGCGCCGCGTGCTCGCCGAAGGACTC